AAATAAATAAATAAAAAACAAGAAAAAACATTAAAAAAAAATGAGTTCATGCTACATAGTGAGACCTTGTACCAAATACATAACTTTTTTAAAAAAAAGAAAAGAAAATGGAAATATATACCTTGCTCTTGGATAGGAAGAACCAATATAGTGAAAATAGTTATACTTCCAAAACTGTTATACAGATTTAATGTAATTCGGATCAAACTTCCAATAGCATATCTCATATAATTAGAGAAAACAATCATAAAATTTATTTGGAATCAGAAAAGAACTAGAACAGCAAAGTCAGTTCTGGGCAACAAAGGAAAGGGAAGGGGCATCACAATCCCTGACTTGAAATTATACTATAAAGTTACTGTGATAAACTTACAGTATGAACTAGGGGGAGAAACAGAACTTAGGATCAATGGAACACATTGGAAGAGCAGAAACAACTCCAGACATACTTGGCCACCTTGTCTTTGATAAAAGTGCCAAACACATTCACTTGAAGAAAGCATCTTTAATAAATAATGATGGAAAAACTGACTCTGCACATGTCAAAGATTAAAATTGGACCTATGTCTCTCACTATGAACTAAATAAAATTCAAAATGGATCAAAGATCTAAATATTAGAATATAAACATTAAATCTTCTGGAAGATAGAATAGCTAAAACTCTTGAAGACAATGGTGTAGACAAAGACCTTATATATCTCATTGCTATCTGTTTATCAATAAAATTTTGAAAAAAAAAAGACCTTATATAGCACGTGAACTAGCACACACACACACACACACACACAAAATCAACAACTGGGATCTCATCTTATTAAAAAGCTTTTGCACAGCAAGAGAAACCACCACAGAGTGAAGAGACAATCTACAGTGTGGAAAATATATTTGCTAGTTGTTACTCACACAATGGATTGCTATCCAAAATATAAAGAATGGAATACCCATCTCTAAAAAAACTAAACAAAAAAAGGTGATACAAAGGAAGGACCATTTTGCATTTGTATATACAAAATAGAATAGATATACAGCTACTTTCTCTTAATTCAATGAGAGGAAAGATTTGTAATAATATTTGGACAGGATATCATGTCTGCATCTTGTACTATGAATAACCACTAAGAAGATGACAATATGTAATGTATTCATTATTGAAACTATCCTATTAATCAGTTTTGAAACTGTCTCAAAAAAAAGAAACTGTCTCATTGCTGTTTCTCAATAAAATTAATAGAAAAAGAAATAAAAATCATTCCATATCAAAAAAATATAAAGAACTCAGAACATAAGACCTACCAAATTTAACAACTCAATCCAAAAATGGGCATTTGAGATGAATACATACTTTTTTTTTTCTGTACTGGGGATTGAACTGAGGACCTTGCGCTTGCCAGGCAAGTGCAAATACATACTTCTTAGATGAAGAAATACAAACAGCAAATAAATATATGAGAAAATGTTCAACATCATTGGTCATTTGAGAAATGCAAATTAAAACAACAGTAAAATTCCATCCCACCCCAGAAAGAATGATCATCAAGAAATCAACTAATAATATGCTGCATGGGCTGTAGAGAAAAAAGAATCCTTTTCCACTGTTAGTGGAAATGTAGACTGGTGCAGTCACTGTGGAAATCAGTGTGGAGATTCCTCAAAAAAGTAGAATCACCCGGCCGGTGGTACAGTCGGGTTGAGGTTGTCGGGGTCCGGGACGTCATGGGGGCTACTAGCGACGTCGAACAGCCGCGGGGTCCCGCCGGAGCAGAACGGGGCGGCCCCGAACTGGGTGATGCAGGCGCAGCAGGGCAGCTGGTTCTGACAAACCCTTGGAACATAATGATAAAGCACCAGCAGGTGCAGCAAAGAGGCCGCAGCTCCCAGATGCCTACAAGCTTTACAGATCCTGCCATCTCTGTGGATCTCCTCCGAGCTGTCCTGCAGCCTAGCATCAATGAAGAGATCCAGACAGTCTTCAACAAGTACATGAAGTTCTTCCAGAAAGCAGCCATGAACGTTTGAGACAATGTGGGAGACGAGGTGGACACAGAGCAGCTGATCCAGGAGGCTTGTCGGAGCTGTCTAGAGCAGGCTAAGCTGCTGTTCTCAGATGGAGAAAAAGTAATACCCAGATTGGCCCACGAGCTTCCAGGGATAAAGCGTGACCGACTAGCAGACAAGGAATGTGCTCATCGAGGAAGCCCCATTCCCAAAAAGAGAAAAGGATGGCCTCCTGGACACATCCTGGCAAGTGAGCAGGGAGCCGCTGGCATGGTCAGATGGAAGCCAAAGTCCTGTGAACCAATTCGCAGGGAAGGCCCCAAGTGGGATCCAGTCCAGCTGAACGAAGCTACCACCTTTGTTTTGGGATCTCGAACCAACAAGGCCCTAGGCATGGGAGGCACTAGAGGCAGAATCTATATCAAGCACCCGCACCTCTTCAAGTATGCAGCTGACCCGCAGGACAAGCACTGGCTGGTCTAGAATCACCACATGCGGGCAACAGGGGGGAAGATGGCCTACCTCCTCATCGAGAAGGATATCCGGGACCTTGCTGCCAATGATGACTATAGAGGATGCCTGGACCTGAAATTAGATGAGCTGAAATCCTTTGTCTTACCCTCCTGGATGGTCGAGAAGATGTGCAAGTACATGGAGACACCAAGGACAGAGAATGAGCACCGTGCTGGGGAAGCACCTGTGCAGACCTGAGCCCCATCATGACTGCAGTGGGCAGCTGCCTCCGAGAGCCCTTCCCCCACGTGCTCCTAGCCAGATTGCTGCAGAGTTAACCTGCATGGGCTAGTCTGTAAGGACTCACTGCTGAGCACCCCAGATTGGCATGTGGGTCTGTATTTGTACAGTTATTAGGATAAGCAATTAAACTATTTGTAATAAACACACAAAAAAAGTAGAATCAGTTAAGATATTTATACTACTAATTTATCTTAGTTCATTGAAAAGAAAGGTTAGTGTTAATATTGTTTGGACAATTAAATGCCAATTATCTTGTACTCTGAGAAACTAATTTAAAGATAACAGTAACTAATGTATTAACCACATTACCTTGTTTTGAATAGTTTTTTTTTCTTTAAAATTAAAAAAAAAACATAAAATAAAAAGAGGAGTTTCTCTCGGCATAATATAAATGATCTCTCCGGGGCACAGTCATGTGCACTCCCAGCCCCGGAAGTTGCCTGTCAGAGGTCCTAGAGTTGAGGCCTGCTCTGTTTTGAATGTGATTCATTCCCTCTGAAACTTGTGTTGAAACTTGATCACCAGTGAGGTCTTTGAGAGGTGATATGTCATGTGGGCTCTGCCCT